GATACCGGTCTGCAGCCCCCTTTTTATTTGCTGTGATTACCTCTGCTAGTCTCACTTAGGTTCATGTTTTGTAGTTTTGCTCTTTCTGCTGACAACTCATAGAATCAGTGTACAAGCAGTCTTATTAGGGAGTTTCTGTCTTCTTGGCTGCAGGATCAGTGCAGCATTTGCAGCTGTTATCAAACAGATTACAAAAATACCATGAAAACAGAAGACGATAATGGAAAGTTAAAGGGAAGATCTCGGAAACTTCCCAAATTGACAATATTTCAATTGCTGCACTGCAGCATTACCTAAACACCCACTTATTAGGCACGTTTAACCAGTTAAATTCTCTCCAACTCAGATGAAAATATGTATATATTATCACCACTCCTAGCATTAAATTTCGAACTACATACTTTCAACAAAGTACAACTCTATCACTGTGAAGTTAAAACAAGTGATAACACTCAAAGTCTATTGCCAAAACTCTCCTACTTGATGGTCAGAAGGCATAACTGTTAAATAAAATCCATGTTCAAGCCACACAAGTAAAATACTTCCTAGTTTCAAGAATTCCTGCACTTCAGAGACCACTATCTCTCTGTCATTGACATTAATGGCAGGCCTCTGGAATCCCTCAGCATGGCTATTCATCCATTCTCACATGCCAATCTGTTCTTGATGGACTGGTACTGCCTCCCATCATGCAATAATTCTTAACTGAATATTTGTGAAATATCCCAGATTTTTGTCTGAATATACAGCTGTGAGAAAAGACAGAGAAGGTGCACCTGAAAAACATCAGAAGGGCATATGAAGGAGGCAGGGAAATAGAACTGGAGATTTCTAAAATAATTCAGCAATTCTGAGATCAAGATACCCTCCAATGTAAGGAGCTACCCCTTGTTTGCTCTGAATCGCTTGTGCTCCCACTGAGGGTTCTCATCCCCACATACGTAGGCATTTGTTGGATGCTTGTCAGAGATGGTAAGAGTAATTTCTTCCTGTCCTGTACCCTTTGTTGGTTATCCAAAAAACAAGAGATTTAGAAGGAGGGGGAAATAATGCGTGCGTCACAAGGGGATTTTTAATTTGTAAATAGCATTTGTAAGGCTGATGTTGAAATACTTCATCCAATTCTGACATCCAAATTTTAAAAAGGCTATTATGGGTGTGGGGGGATCAGAAAAGGTGCAAAGACAAAGGACTCAGAAGATAGAAAGATATGCAGCAGGAGACTGAAACATTTTAGTTCAGTGAAGATATCAAGGTCATTTGATTCTAACAACTTAAGTTATAAGAACTTCCCAGAGGAGAGAGATACTAGATACTAAGTCTGGTTTGTGGATGTGATGTAAAAGCCAAAGTAATTCAAATGAGAATGGTAACTTTATAGCAGATAGGAGGACAAATTATTGGAATAAGCAATCATTGTAAGAAAGCTTTTGAGCCCACAGACCAAGGCTGGATATCTTCTAAAAGATTTACCTCCATCAAATTACTTTGCTTTGTACATGGACAGCATATAAAGTTTATATTGAGAGAAGACCAGATTTGATGATCTAGTGGCCCTTCTTGGTCTTAAAATCCATAAATATTTTAGTAGAGAAGTACAGTGTGCTGTGATGTGACTGCTTGTTATGCATCTGGATTCAAGTCAGTTGACCAAGTACACTCCTGAAGGCTACATGTGCTGAGCAAAGAATAAAGCACTCTTCTATCACCAAGCAACACAGTGTTCTTGGTGTCATATGATTTTTTTCTCTCCCATGAAACATTATACATTAATATCAGTCTGCACAGAGTTTTCTCAAAACAAGGTTCCAAATCACTTTTGGGACATAAACTAACAAAATAGACTGACACGGGCAGTTTCAGGAGGCAGCTGAGATTTTCCACCAACCATCTGTTTTTTAAACAAAATTGAGCAGTTGCACATAATGAAAGATAGTTACTAATTCAGGTTGCCCTTTAAGCATTAACTGTTTGACATCAAAGAGAAACAACTTAGCATTTAAAATTCACAAAATATTTCCAGAACCATTCCAGCTCACCTGGATAAAAATGAAGCCATCCATCTGCACCTCAGGTAAGGTCCAATGCAGATGTGAGTTTTCACAAAATTTAAGTATATACTTATGCAAGTAAGCGTAGATACCGCAGATATCACTGAGAATAACAGATACACAGGGAGGAAAGGGATTGCCCACACAGCTTGTTCATTGTTCATGTCTGTACTCACTTTTTGCTGTGGTTCTATTAAGAACCACATAGCATGTTTGACTATAGTCAAACTTCGCTACAGCAATTCTCCTGTAAAATCTCTGATGAGAAGTATAAAAATGACCAAGCATCTCTACATCTATATATGTATTGAGAAATACAGGACAGCAAAGCACAAAAGTAGCATAGTTACCTTGCATTTAAAGAAAGACACACTACAAACAGCAACAAAAATCTTTGTTGAAAGCATTCTGTGTTATTCTTGTTTATACAAGCAAGTCCTGTGTACCTCAATACAGTTTAACCATATGATTCCCAGGAAATTTTTGTCCCTTTTTTAGGAATGCATATCATATATACAATGCAGATATAATAATATTTAGTCCATGTATTCTTCTACACATACACGTACACATTAGTAGCATTCATTCCTAGATATCTGATCACAACCAATTTAAAACTATTACCATCTGCATGGTAAATGGCATGTTTTCTCATGTATTCTTAATCTAAAAATTACTTTCATTTTCATAAATTGGACACATATCCAATGAGAACATGTAACTGCTGAGGTAGAGATCTTTTCCAGATCCAGCAGGAAATTCAAAAAATCCCTTAGTTCATCAAGACTGGGTACCTATGACTTTAAAAGTCCTTTAGAGGACTTTTCATACCATCTGTGATCAAGTGATCACAATTCTCTCACAAGTACTCATATTCTTGAATTACTTTCTTGATATTAGTGGATGCCATTTTTTACAATAGCCGTTAACCACAAAAGAGGTAGATAAACTGGAAAAAGTACAGAGGAGTTTAACAAACAGGATCAGAAGTCTAGAAAGCATGTTCTACTGAAAGAAGTGGGTTTGTTTAGTCTAAAAAAAGAGAAGACTGAGGAAAGATATGATAACGGTCTTCAACTATGTAAAAGGTTGTAATAAGTTTTCTTCATGCCCACAAGGGATAGGGTAAGAAGCAATGGGCTTAAATTAGAGCAAACATGACTTAAAGATCAAAAAAGGCATTTTACAGGCCACTGGAAACTTAAGCTTTAAATTTTTAAAGCTTACCTACTTAAAAAATATGTTAAGTATATAAATGAAGCAAGAACTAAATTTACTAATTAGCGTGTACTGTAGCACAAATAGATAACAGATCCATTGTGGAGGACCACAACATTTGTCCACATAGAGACCAGGACAAAACAATCCAAGTGCTGACATAGAACCATGGAACTCAATGAAAGAGTCAGATTCATTTCTTCTTCCATAATGGCCAAAAGCTGAAGATCTGTGCTGTGCAATTACTTGGTAACTATTACTTTTGCTTAAGAATACTTCAGTTTTCACTTCGTTGCTGACTTAGTTCAGTTCAAGTACGAGGACAGAATTTCAAAATTCTAAGAATAGTTCTGATTTGGTCAGGGGAACTCAAAAGGAAAAATAACAAAAAACGCTCAATAAGGGAGCTGTTCTCCCGATGTCACAAGTTTAAGAAAATCATTCTGATGTTAAGAGAAAAGCATTTCACCCTTTCTCCCTTCAGTGTCGCTTATTATTGACCTCTGGCTGCAACCACTCTCTTTTCTAAAAAGAATTTCGATGAGTCTGGAAAAGCAGAACTACAAGTAACTATTAAGTAATCACTGACATTCAAATCATTTCATCAATGTCTACCCCTCAGCCAATCTTTCATTTGTTCTTTAATGCGGGGAAAATTCTGAGCTGAATGCTGGAAGTTTTATTTAACTTACCTCAGTGAGTTACCATGACTACCATGCAACAAAACAGGCAATAATCACACCTTGCGATATGAGGTAAAAACTGTTCCTCACTATGTTTACTTCAAAAAAGGAGCGACAGGAAATGTTGTGTCTATATATCACCTGGAGATTTAAAAAACTATAGAAACCCAACTTAAGCATAGTGCTTTACTAGTTTTCTGTTTGGAAAGGAAGAAATCTGTTTTATTTTCTTCTTCAAAATAAGACTTAGATACTGAACAGTACCTGTATTTTCAGGACAACCATTCTTATTTCTTACTCATTTTAGGAGATGTTGAACAAAGCAAAAAAGTATCCATTCCACAGAGTGACAGGCATTTAAATCAATAATTATCTCAGACACAGTAATTAACACTGTTTCTGTTAGATGCCCTTTACTCCACTGGACACCTTGCACAGTATATTTTTAGCCACGACAAGACTGTGAACTAAACCTTTCTGTGTATAGTTCAAAGCACTGCTTTGCGGACAGATACAAATTCTATTTCATCAAGGAAACATTCCTTTTCAATATTGGTTCTCAAAAAACATCTCACATCTTCAAGGAGTTGAGATTTGGATTGAGCCATCTTGCTAATGGAGCACTAAATTAAAATTAATAAATCAATTGACATTAATTAATCTTCATCTGACAGGGAAGTCTCAAAAAAAATTGTTTTGGATAAGAACTTAATCACAGAAAAGAGATATACATAGCCTGAAAGAGTGGTCATCTTGATCCAATACAGATTTTTAAATTAGATTTCTCACTGCCTCCATGGTTAGACATACTTAGACCAAGAAGAACATAGAGAAGCTTTTCTTTCCCTCATTAATCTTGGACTAAATAACAACATATTATATACCTGCTAGAAGCATTCACCAAATACAGAGCTAAAAAAATATGGGAGAGCACAGCAGCTGCTAATGAAAACCCAGTAAATGTCATTGTCCTGGGCTGAGGCTGCACTCTCAAGTAGCTTCACAGTTTCCTCAAGAGTAAAGGTGATTCACTTGAACAGTTTATTACCTTGAATACTCCTTTTGAAAAAAGCTTTGCAGCCTTCACAAGACCAGACTCCATAATGGTAGCCTGAAGCATAGTCGTTGCAGACAGCACAGTAGCGGGTCTCCTTGGTGGACTCCATGGAGAGGCTGCCTTTCTCGTTGGTACTGGACATCCTCTCCCGAATGCTGTGGCGCCTGTTATCAGAGCTTGGCCTGTTAATAGCAAAAAACAAGCATAATTCAGTGAGGTTAAGTCTCATCCACTCCTGCAGATTGTCAGAAAGAAGAGTGGATCTAGTTTTGAAAAGACAGATGCGCAAAAAGATAATCTTTTACCACCCTCTGTTCTGTTCTAGTTAGAAAGGTGTAGAACCAGTAAGATACAGGGGAATTTCTCACAAATCAATCTGATCTTATTAAGCATTGTACCTTGAAAAAATAATAGCTATTTGATAAATTAATCAATTTTTCTCAAGACATTACAAAGAAATACAAAAAAATCAGCATTTTTTTGTGTACCTGCTCCTGTCCAAAGGGTTCAGCATGACTGCAGTATCAGTAGCTGGTTTGAGGAACTAAAGTAAAAATCACTTAATGTTTGCACCTGAATTTGCAAGTCACTTAAATTATTAACCAGGCTATTTCCAAGTATTAATACCCAATTATAAATGCAAACTTTCCTTACTTTGTCAAAGATATAATACTGCATAAAATAGTCCCTATTCTCATTACAATACCACTTTCATAAAAATTAAGAAGTGGTTTTAGCACAACAAGGAAAGTCGGAAGGTATTAAAAATTGTTGCCGAAGAATTTTTGTTCTAGTAATGTACATGTTACTAGACATGTACTAGACATACCAGACATACTAGACATGCACATGACCCACACATGCAGTATGCTACTGAATGAAAACTGAAAAAATCTGCAGTGTAAATGGCAACGAATTCACATCTAGTGAATCTGGTAAGAGGTTATCAAGGGTAGCTGCTGCAGGCATGATAAACAACATTCAAAAAGATGAGAGGATGTGAAATTACCAAGGGAACCAGCAATGAACTCTGGGACTGCTCCTGGAAGGCAAACAGCTCTTGCAAAACATGCTTTCCAGTAAGAGCCTGCACTACAAATTGTCCAGGAGACAAATACAATTGGGTGTGAAAATATCAGACAAGCTAAAGCATGAAGAATCCTACTGTTTACAGTAATTATCCACTTATCATGCATGTTTTAATTGCTGGTTAGTAAACAGGTGGCTCTTACCTCCCCAGAGTCTTAACATTTTCTCAAACATACATATTATGGTTTTGAGCCTAGGAGACTGGGGGCTCTCTCTTTCAGCTTTCTTCCTACATACCTGCTTTAGACTTATTCCCTTCTTCAGTGCAGCAAACTTCCTTTGTTTTGATGAACCAAGGCATCTGGCACCAACAGCACCTTCCTGCTCCAAACCAATACTCCCTAGCAGCTTTCTGATTACTCTACGTATGCTCAACTATCCTCTTTCAATTAGCCAAAGTTGCCTGCCATCTCCTGCTACCATCCATCTCAATGCCCAAAAGCTTGCTACCAGCCAAAGCCACCTGGACACGTGCTCCCAGCCATTCCTTCGAAACTTTTTATATATAATTTCTGTCCCTGAATATGATAGATTTTCATTGAACAGCTTCGAATGAATATCGGTTATTAAAGAAACATGAGGCTTCACCATGTTAGATAGCAGAAACTGCTACTGGCATCATTCAGGAAAACAATTTTTAAACACAAAGTTCTTTACCAAGCCTTATATACCACCTAATTTTGAACACTTTTAAAATAATTTCAGTTTCCTTGGGACTTGTGCAAGACAGAAGCAACTGCAAATTGTGAAGTGCTGACATGACACAACTCTGGCTTTTTAGTGAGACAGGAAAACTGGTGAACACCACAATTCTGACAATAGGAGTTTAACAAAGTAGGCAGGGGAAAAAAAAAGCCTTGAATATTTCAGATGTTAAAAAGTGAAAAAGTGGAAACAATATCATTAATAAATTGTTATGGATACAACACATACATGGTTCATGTAACTACCTTTTCCAACCCACCAAATCTAGGTAGTTTTTTTATTCCTCTCCAGGTCCTGAATCTTCCTTTGCATTTGCTTTATCTCAGTGCCTCATTTAATTGACTTCTTTTTTTCCTACTGAGCACTGATCAAAGCTGTTGTTTCTTATCTTCTCCACCCCATTCTCTCCTACCTGCAGCTAGATCATCTAATCCATCCTCTCAGTATACCTTTAGATTAACTACAATGTGCCTTGTTTTAAAAAATATACTTTTAGGTGTATATAACTACAAGAATGTTTTAAATATTTAAAGTAAATCAGCAAGCAAGCAAATAACTGTCAATATAATTTTAACAGCAATAGACTAGTCTGTTAGGTGTACATGACCACCTGATAGATATTCATAATCTTGGATTTTTTTTCATAACTGCTACAAATATGCATGTTATATAAGACAAGGTTCACAAAATTATTTTCATATCAACAAGAAATAAAAATAAAATATAGTTTATAAAATTTTACCTTTTAAAAAAGGCACATTAAACACAGAAAAAGGAACAAAATGTCAAGTTCCAAAACAATTATGTATTTTTGCAGGTGTGTAGTAATTTTCCAATACACACACACACACACACACACACCCCCATAAACTTACTAAAGCAATCCTAGTTTCCTAGCTAGATACAAAAGAAAACACTTCAACGAATAGGTAAAACCACAACAGAGTAAAGAAATACCGAAAACTATCAGTTATCATTCGGTCTAGATAATTTAAATTTTCATCTTTTCAGAATATTTATCTTCACTCAGATCAAGACTAATAAAATATAGTTTATAAAATTTTACCTTTTAAAAAAGGCACATTAAACACAGAAAAAGGAACAAAATGTCAAGTTCCAAAACAATTATGTATTTTTGCAGGTGTGTAGTAATTTTCCAATACACACACACACACACACACACACCCATAAACTTACTAAAGCAATCCTAGTTTCCTAGCTAGATACAAAAGAAAACACTTCAACGAATAGGTAAAACCACAACAGAGTAAAGAAATACCGAAAACTATCAGTTATCATTCGGTCTAGATAATTTAAATTTTCATCTTTTCAGAATATTTATCTTCACTCAGATCAAGACTAGGCTCACAAATACGTTTTTATTAAAATGATATTAAGAATAATAAAAAATGACTGAAAAATAGCCTGAAATAACAAAAAAATGCTTTTTCTGTCTAGAAAAGATAAGAAAACTCATGAAAAATGTACGCTCCAAAGAAAAGGATGCGTAAACACTAACAAGGAAGATGCCATAAAAACAGATGCATTTTGCCATGCTGCTTGCAGGGAGTCTGTCCCACAGGTTCTGTCCATCCTCAGTCACTGAAAGAGGGCCACTTTTTCAGAGGGAGGCAGCAGGCAGGGAAAAGAGACAGCTTGCTCCCTGTAAGCACACACAGGATCCGTGGCACAAGGGATCACAAACAGACAGGGGAGTAATGCTCCTGCTCCCGCCTGCCCATAATGCCCCTGGATTTCATATTTGATTTAGACTTCCATTGCCTTCCTGCACACAAACTTGTTGTATTGAAAGCGCACTATAAATCTGTTAACACAGACCTTCACAAAGCAAACTGAATCCAAAGATGACCTTGCTGGCTCTCCAGCCCCCTCCAAACATCAGTGCCACTCGAGCACCACTGGCGTAAACTGGCCTTGCAGAGTCTTCACATGCAGGCTCTTGTGAACCACACTGGGAAGCACACTAAAATACCCATAGCCCCATCCTCCCCAGAAACAACATCCTGCCACCCCTTTTCATTTATACAATGGAAATGAAAGCTAGCAATAAAGAAACTTTGGATTATCACACCACTTATTAGAGGAGGTGAGGAGGAAATCTTTTTGGGAAAAGAGTATCCCCATAACACAGAGCTTGGTAAATCAAAATAACATCTGAAATTTCATCCAGAAATCAGCTGCTAGTTAGTGCACATCACAGACCACTGATGCTGTGTCCTGACAAAAAATAACACTCTGCTCTTCATCTAGTTTTCAGTTAGGTTTCAGGGGTTAGCCTTCTGGAGAACATAGTGCAACAACCTAACCCAAATTTAATAACTTTGGCAAGATCATCATTCCCAAAATACAATAGCAGAACCTTTTCAACAATTTCCTTTGTAATCTATGTAAACAGTAACAAAAAAAAAAAAAGACCAAAAGTTCTTGTCAACTATGTTTACCAAAGAAAAACACAAATCAAAAGGAAAGAAAACCCCAGATAAAGCCCTCCCTCCAAGGCCCCCACCAAAACAGAACAGCTTAGAAAGCAAAAAAGCCTCAGGATTTACTGCTCATTTCCAAATGTAATAACACAGCAGACATAAAATGGAAAGTGATTTGGAAGCTACAGAGCAGGGCAAACTTGTCTTCCACACTTACTTTCATGTTTTTCCACCTATGTCAGGCTGAGTCTGCTCTTCAATAAATGTTTTAGCAAACAAAACACCTCTGCTTTCAACCTTTACTCATCACCTGCAACTCTGAATCAGACAAGAGCATTAACCCCATGTTGACTGTAAGATAAAAAGAATGTGTATGTGAGGGAATTACAGTTTTGTGATGTAAACTCCATTTTTTACATCATGGTAATCTGACTGGCAGGCAGGACGAATTTAGAATAACCCACAGTACACAATCCACCCAACAGCAAGGTAAGGCCCAATTAATTCACAACCCCAAATTTATCTGAAATAAAGAGATTTCATAGGTAGGAGGGCTTAAGGAAAAAGTTATTTAAGCAGTTAAAGGAGACACCTTAAGAAATTCTAGTTTTCTGAATTTACTTTCATACAAGAAACTTTGATCTGCAGCTGCTAAATCTTTCTTACCAGAATGGACAGACGTGACCAGTGTAAAAAGACTCAAAACCAATGGCCATTTCAAATGCAGTCAAGGTCTAGCATGAATACTTTTCCACACATTGGACTTATTATAACACCATTCTACTATTCAATATGAAATTAATTAGCTTAATGCTAGAATGTGAATTTCCATATGGGGCAAAATATTTCTGACGGATTATTTGAACAGAATTAACTGCTTGAAAATACTTAACAGACATCTCAAGGAGAAGTACTGCAATAGGAATGACTAAGTATACAAATAA